CATAATGGCAAGATTGGAGAGTTTGATCGGACTCGTCAATAGAATACAACGAGCCTGCACTGTCTTGGAAGATCATGGAGGCGAAGGAATGTCCCTCTGGGAAGCTCTTCCTTCCGTGGTCGTCCTCGGAGGCCAGGTCGGTCACACTTTCCTTTCAGTCTCTTCTGCATTTTCTGATTTCTCTGCTTTGGTTTCTTCTCAATCGATTGTTTTGGTGGGTATTAGAGTTCCGGGAAATCGTCGGTGTTGGAAAGTGTCGTCGGAAGAGATTTTATGCCTCGTGGATCTGGTAATTCTCGTTTATCTATTTTTGGATCTGTGTTTGATATTTATGTAATGTCTAATGTCGATTATTTAGTTATGCATTATTGTTTTTTGATGAGAAAATGAAGGGAAAAGAGGTGTAAATTAATATTTTTTAAATCCCTAAACTTCACATTATGAAGTTGTTGGGTCAATTAGGCTGAGCTTTTCAGTTTTAAGAAACGACATTTATTTTTCTTCATGTTTCTCTTTCTTATCTTCGCAACCAAACACAATGTTAGAAATTTTTTAGGCATTAAAATTCATGCAGCCATTACCTATTGCTATTTGCTTCAATATCAAATTGGATTGACTGCCATTTTTCTGTGAATTTAAACCAAAAAAGCCCCTTTTCCCATCAGTAGCAGTCATGATTTATAGTCATGACAACTCGATCGTGAAAAATAGCATGTTCTTTTTCTTTAACCATAGTTTGTTTTCACTTTGATTTCTTAAAATGTAAGGTATTGTTACAAGGAGACCATTGGTGTTGCAACTACATAAGATGGAAGGGGGAACTGAATATGCAGAATTTCTCCATGCACCGAAAAGGAAGTTTACTGATTTTGGTGAGCTGAATTTTGAGAAACATCTTCTTTTCTTGGGTTTGACATATATGTGTATGTGTGTGTTTGTGTAATGTTGAAATGATGATTTTATTGTGTTCCTAAATTTGCAATTTACTTTCTATTTGAAATGAAGATTCTTGTTTTACCGGTCACTGTATTTTTTGTTAGACTTAAAAACTGGCTTATTTACAATTCATGGAGAGACAACTGAAATGAATATGTAACACGTTTAAGAGGAGATCCTCCATTTATTATAATTAATTGTTTATGAAAATGGCTTTTTGCCACAAACAATGGTGTTTGGATACTAGTATGGCATGAGACTTGAGAATGAGATTGGGGCATGGTGCACTCTTTTCAACGTGAATGTAATATTCTAGATTAAAGATCAAAGTTTTTTCTGAGTTTTTTGACGCAGTTAACTTACCTGCTTAAGTGCAATATACAGATTAATCTATCTTTAATAGCTCGAATTGTACCTTTTATCTTCCCTGCTTAACCTTGTCTAGAAATTAGGTCTCTCATTCAATATCAGTAGTTCTGTACTATCACTGTATCCGTGACTGTAGATACTTGACTTAATGCTTCATTTTGTGAGAAGGTGGCATACATCACCTCTCCATGTGGCACTGAGGTGGCAGCCCAAGTGTGACTTCCCCTTCTGCTTCATAACATCTCCAAGGAAGTCTCCATGTAGGATTAGTGATAAAAGTTACATAAGAGACAATTATATTCGTTCCACGGACACACCTACACCTTCCTACACATCCAACACATGGTATCTCCAATTGGAACAACATCCATGGTTTATCACTCCTACACATGGCATATATATGAATCATTTTGGTTCCCAGCGCAGACCAAGCAAAATTTGATTGATTCTTTCTTCCTTTTGTTAGATTTCCTGAATTCTTTATTCAGTTATGACTTAAATACCACAACACCTCAAGACTACTTGTCGAGGTGAAGGCATCCCTTCCATGCAACTCTACATCATGACTCCAGGAAACTTGACCACACCATTCTCTGACTCTGCGTCCAATAATCTAGCTGTCTTATGCCTTCTCAGCAGACTTCTGTGCAACAGACTTATATTGTCATTGACAGGCATAATTTTGATCTCCAATAGATCTGTTGTCTTCACCTTTCATACAGGCTTATTATCTGTGGTAGGTTTACTGCCCCAATGTGGCTCGATTCAGCATTTTTCTGACCGTGCACAGCCTATTTCCACAGATAGTCCCCGATCTTCTTATTATTATCTTTTATCTTCTCCGTAGGCGTATCAATACAAGGCTGATTGCAGACAGACCTGTTACCTTCTCCATAGCTACATATGATAATTTAATGGGACCCCTGCCTTGTCCATAAACACACATATGAGATTGAAAGTTGTCTTCTTCTTAGACACACCTTGTTGCCTTCTCCAGACATACCTGAAACAAAAACCACTGCATCCTGATACACTTTACGCATTGCATAGGTTGAGAGAAGGACATTGTGTATAGCTCGGGTTGTGGCTATTAATGTGGCTACCTCTTGGTATGCAGTCATGTGATATCCCACTTTCCAGCTATCGATGTGGCCTATCTCGTGGTTGTGGACATGTCATACTAACCCACTGGGATTTTAGAAAAATTTTGCTTGGTGGCCGAAGTTTGGTGGAGTTGATATCAAGGGATATATCGCATGTTGCATGATTCTAGGATGATATCTGCTCTCTATGACTTGGTAATTCCTTATTAGACCAACTCGGTAGAGGTGTCCACTGCTGAACCCCATTGACACATCGACTGAAGGCATATCATTGGACCACAACAAAGTTCACTGAAGATATTGGCTGCCTCGGCACCACCTGGTGCCACTCTATGGCCGTGATGCTGCCCGCTGCTAGTCATTCAAGGCACAAACTTTTATAGCACATTAACAATTTCTTGGAGGCAATTGGTTAATGTACAGAATGTTCTGTTTTCAAATTTTATTTTATGTCTGTTCCCTTGAGAATTGAGATTGGCTAATCATAATGCACTGAATGGCTAATGTAGCTGTGGGCTCTTGATAGGATGGTGGTAGAAAGAAATGTATTTTTGCTTCCTTCTTATATATTCTGCTTTTAGTAATACAGAGTAGTCCACGAAGATTGAGTACCTTCATCTCCTTGCCACTTGGAAGTTATGAATGGGCTTACTCCAACACATAGTGGGACTCTATTTCCAGAAAACAAACTAGAAAAGGAATTCATTCTTCAGTGATTGATTTGACAACCAATACATAGAAAGAATGGCTTCTTACAATTTCTTCCCCTAAAGTAGTTCTCATTGTTAGGGGCCAATCATGTGCTAATTACTTTTATTAGCACATATGATAGCCACGATTTATGGAATGACTTACCAAATTAGTATAGATTTGCTTATGCACATGTTAGCATATATGATAGCCATGATGGATTTACGAAATGACTTACCATATTAGTTGAGATTTGATTTAGATTTGATTTAATTTCTTTTCTTGTAATATAAGCATGTGCTCTTATTTTATTTATAAATACTAGAGCTGTGAATGAGTGGTTGATATCATTCAAGCCTTTACATATTATTAAATCTCGTTCAAACCTTTTCCACAATTATCTCATTTTTTTTCCTTTTCCTTCTATATTGTATTTCTTCTTGGTATCAGAGTTAGGGTGGTTCGACTACAATAAGGGCATTGCGAGTTCGGCACCCACCCATTCAGAAATGGTCTAAGGAGATATAATTGTTTCTTTTTTATGGTCTGAGGAGACATTGTTGATTCATCTACATGTTTTAATAATATGTCTTAATTCATTCTTCTCTATCTCTTTTAGAAGGGAAGTGAATAAATTCATTATTGTTAATAACCTAATGCATTCAAAAGTACTAATTCAATAATAAACAATCAGTCACAATTCAAAATTCAATCACCAAAAAAAAAAAAAAAAAAAAAAAAAATAATAATAATAATAATAAAAAAAATTCATGTAATAAATTGATAAGACATAATTAAGAGTGGGTCATAGAATTGATACTTTTTACATTACAAACTTTTAATTTGAATTGTATGATTATACTATATTATATATATATATATATATATATATATATATATATGATTATACTATATTATATATATATATATATATATATATATATATATATATATATAATATAGTATAATCATACAATTCAAATTAAAAGTTTGTAATGTAAAAAGTTATATATATATATATATATAACATATTGGTCCTATATTTTTCTGATTTCACAAATTTAGGCCCGGATTTTTGTACACCCCTACCACTTTTATTCTTTCATTTCCATTTTCCAACCCATACCTCTTTCAAATCCTAATCCTTAAGTGATAATTATTCATAATTTACCCTTAAGTGATAATTATTCAAAATTTTCAAACCGCCTAACTGTTTAAAAAAAATAATCTCAAATGGTCCTTAATTCCTAATTAACTTTTTAATGTGGCTATTTTAAAATTTCAACTCAAATATCGTTTTTTTCCATAATGTTACTATCTTAAATCTTTCTAATTCAAGTACGATTCTTTCCATAACCTTATTATCCTAAAATTTCATCTCATACATGATTCTTTCCATCACTTTTATTTTTTTTTATTTTTATTGGAATGTTTTTGTAAGAATTCTGTAAGAAATTAATTTTTACAAAATCGATGATTTAAGAATCTAAATTCTTATTTTATTAATTTGTGTATTAACATCTAAATATTATTATAGGAACTCTTAAATTACTCCTTGATAGTGGCGTAGCCACATAAGGACAAGTGGGGGCATAACTCAGTTAAAAAAAGCCTGTATAGTTTTCTGGAAACAGTTTTTTGTTTTCTGAGTTCTTGAGAACTATTTTTAGAAAACTGAGCCAATCAGGCCCTAACTTTTGGAAATATTTTGCACAAAGTGACCGTTCTCATACTTGAATCTCTCTCTTCAAGCTTGTCAGCCCGAGCTTTTACCACTGCACCAAGCACTGACCCCTGATTTTAAAAATAGCCTAGGACTTTTGCTGGGGAACTTTCAGTTTTCAGATTTGGATTGTGGTTTGATACGATGGTCTGTTCTCTATTTAGTTTCATAGTTCCTATTATATGTGTCTCTCCATTAATTTGGTGCAGTTGGCATTGGCTGCTTTGCGCAAGTCAAATGAAGTTCATGGTGTTTTTGACTTTGAGAGGTTTGAATTGCTTCTGCAAGTATTTAACAAATTAATTTCTTGCAGCTCACCTACCTTTCTTGGCTAAAAAATTGTTTTGTTTTGTCAAATGATTTCTGTGCAGATATCTTGGGAGCATCCTCTCTCACCAGCATCCTGCACACACCATCTCAGAGCTCACTGTTCCTCTGAATGCCATTGATTTTTTGGTATGACTATATCAAGTCAATTGTAATTCAATTTAGTTATGATGCTTACTTCTTTTCTTCTTTTTCTTGGCTATATTATTCCTATTTTAACTCTGTTCTCTAAAAATAGTTCAGAAGAACAAGATATTTTAGCTGTTTCCAGAGAAACAGAAAGGCTTTTCTGAAATTTTGTTTTAGCTCAGTCAACCAAACATACCTACTTTTAACTTTTTGCTGGCTTTCATTATAGGCAAGTAAACTTGAGACCCCGACTGCTGCGGATATGAAGCATGTTGACCGGAAGCTCAAATCATGTCGGGATCCTGGCTCACATGACAAGTACTATATTTACACTTGACATATATAGAAGTAACCATTTTTGCTTATCACGTGTCTGTGTGTGTGTAGTAGTGATTATTGTTAATCCAATCTTCTCTCTCGTGATAATTCATTGATTCAGTAGTAAGAAACGGAAGCACAGGTCCAGAGAGAGTTCAAACGCAATGCATAACATGCCTTCAGCACTGTATGTTCTGCCACATAATTTTGGTTCTCTTACGTCTTACATAGTCTGGTTTTAATTTTTCATTTGGGTGCATCTCATTACCAGTTTTCACTAGGAATCAATAATGGTGCGACATCATGCTACCAGGGGTTGTACCTTTGTCACCTAGAAGCACATAAATTTTAGAAATTTTATCAGTTTTCCTTACTTTTGCTGTGATTTTATTTTGATGCAAATACAAGTCTCTTCTGACACGATGTGGCAAATTTGATGGGTGACCGGATCTTTTTTCAACTTGCGGTGATACTGATGTAATGTTTTTTTCTGTGCTTGCAGGTGAATAATGTATGTATACCTTTTTCTCCTGATGTTTGACAGGTTCTATATTGGAAATTCCATTCTAGGGAAGTAAACCTTGGTGTAATAGAATCATAAATCAGATAAGATAGTAAGGTTTTCTCTAATTTGAAGTAGGTATAAAACATTACACCTATACTTGCATCTATGAATTCAACAGTTAGGCGACATCGTGGTTATCCATGGAGGATCTGCTATATGTTCTTTCATTAATGCAGTTTTTCTGTAATTGGATATAATTTCCACCATATTCCCATTTTTTAACTCAGCAGCCAGTTTCTTTGTCAAATTAAGAGAGTTGTTAAAATTTTCATAAAATGAGTTGTTCACAAAATCATGTTTGGCATAACTCAGCACTTTTTTATGTTCCGGTTAAATGGGACAAGTGGCGATGGTGGGTTGTTGACTTGTTAAATTAAATGAACCAAGAGTCACAAAGAAGAGCAAAAATTAACAAATTCAGAACTATTAATAAATTCAGAACTTTTAATTCATTCTTTTTTATCACCTTTAGAAGGGAAGTGAATAAATTCATAATTGTTAAAAATCTAATACATTCAAAATTACTAATTCAATAATAAACAATTAGTCACAATTCAAAATTAAATAATAAACAATCAAAATTTAATAATATACAATCAGTCACAATTCAAAATTCAATCACCAAAATAATAATAATAATAATAATAATAATAATAATAATAAGAAAAAATAAATAAATTCATGTAATAAATTGATAAGACATAATTAAGAGTGGGTCATAGAATTGATAGTTTTTATGTTAGAAACTTCTAATTTGAATTGTATGATTATATTATATATATATATATATATATATATATATATATATAACATATCGGTCCTATATTTTTCTGATCTCACAAATTTAGGCCCGGATTTTTGTACACCCCTACCACTTTTATCCTTTCATTTCCATTTTCCAAACCATACCTCTTTCAAATCCTAATCCTTGAGTGATAATTATTCATAATTTACCCTTAAGTGATAATTATTCATAATTTTCAAACCGCCTAACTGTTTAAAAAAAATAATCTCAAATGGTCCTTAATTCCTAATTAACTTTTTAAGTGATAATTAATCATAATTTTCAAATTTCATGGTTTTCATGGTTATATATCAAAAAAATCAAATTTTATTTGATATATGAGTAAGTGAATATTAGGATGATATTTAAAAGAAAAAAATAAAAATAAATATTGAGATGATAATTATTGGATCTATATATATGTAATAAAATTTAAAGAAAAAAGAAAAGAAAGATCTCTAATAAATAAAAAAAAAAAAAAAAAAAATTTGAACTAAAAATCCCATCGATCCTAACTATGAAATAAATCAACGTCAAGAAGATCCCACGAGAAAGGCAGGTGTGACCATCCATCATGAAGATCAGATGAGAAAGGCAGGTGGGACAGTCCATGAATGGCAATTCTGTAGCTGCGGAGAACATCAGGGGTCTCAATGTTGACGTTGCTGATCCTGAGCGGGGCCGAGGCATGCACCACCAGATTCTTCCCCTCTTTCATGGTGGGCAACTCCGTCAACGGCGGTAGCCTCTCCAAATCAGAGGCGGTGAGCAACATGTTGGGCACGATGTGGAACCTCAAATTGCGAAGGTAGATATTGAAATTACAAGAATCGTGGAGGGAAGCGTCGTCGAGAGCGAACAACGTCATATTGTGAAGGCCCACTAGTTGATCGTACTCCCCCAGCAGCGCTACACTCAGCCTGCCATAACCGAGCGCCTGCAGACGCACCATCGCACTATTTAGCATCATCGCCATGGAATAAAGGAATGTCTCTGTCTCTGGGTACTGCTCAATATTGGGTCGCGGCTGATAAGGTACCAAAAACCGAGCACTTATCATTGATTGCTCGCACCGCGGGCACTGTGTGCATGGGTCCATGAATCCTTCTGTGGTTGAGATCGAGATCGAGATCGAGATCATGAAGATAAAGATGGATGCTATTGAAACAGCTTTAGCCATGTGTAGGTGTAACAATTTGTTTAACTAAAAAGCCAAAAAATAAAAAATGAAAATAAGACTCACTCAAATAAAAAAGAACAAGTATAATGCTTGTAGGTCCATGCTTCTATTTATATACAAAAACAAGATGAAATTATGGTAAGATTCTTTATGCTTGACCGTTATTTACATATAAAATTCACTCCATATACAATTCAAGTTTATTTCCTTCTACAATTCTTTCCATGTAGAATTTTTCCAATCCAAAACTTCTTTTCATTTAGGATTCTTTACTATATAGGAATTGATTAATCTTGGACCATCTAACCCGAGAACCTGTCACTAATATTTTTGGTAGAAAAATAATTAAAAAATACCTTATGAGGTTGCTTATTCTCTATTATATATACCCTAATATATAGGGAGACACTGAACAAGCCGTGACACTCTGAATATACATGGTTTGTTTGCTTTTAAGAACTCCTCCTCTTTTGGTAACACTTAGAATATATTCTATAACATGTTACTCTGTTTTGTTAGAATATGTTCTATAATTAATATATACATATAACATTACTTTATATGGTAGCTTTTTTAACCTACCCTTATTACCATATTTAACATTATCTAATATATATATATATATAACATTGGTAACGGTCTTAACTTACCCTTATTACCATATATAACATTATTTTATATGATAATGACTTGCTCTCCACACATTACCTTTCCTATATAAACCAACCGCCATGCAGTCTTCTCTCACACACATCAATACAATATAGAATTCTCTTTTATATCTAAGAGTAACAAATATGTTATCAATTTTACTTTTTATTTTGTTTTTTTACATCTATATTTATCTATGTACTAATATTAATTTTCATGTTATATCTATAATGAGTTTCAAATCCTTTCTTATTATAATACTCTTAAATTTTGGTATAACCTAAATAACTATAAATTCAAATAAATAGATTTTTAAAAATTGAGAACGTTTTTGTTACCAATAAAAAATTATTGCCCGACTTCATGTCTAACATAAACTCCCACCCTCTTCTTAGACCCCACGCCTAACACATTGAATAGTTGAAGATGATTATCCTTCAATACATAAGATTAAATGATATATTTTTGTGAAAAAAATGATAGTCAAAGGAGTTTATGAAATTTTCCATTTCTTTAATTAATAATGCCCAGAGGTTGATTTAATTAACAAACTAAACAATGAAATTCAGAATTACATGAAATCAAAAAGTGGATTAAAAACATGCACAGTACGCAACAGCACCAATCCATGACACTTTGTGGCTAGCTACTTTTGGAGATGAAATTTTGAAACCAAATTATATCAATTCATTCCTTTGCATCTTACTTTGAAGAAACATGCTTCAATAAAAAATAAAAATAAAAATAAAAAAAAACTGAAATCTCATTTGTGAATTTATGTTTATGTAATTTATTTTACAGTTTTTTAAGATGGATTTTGTTTTTTGATTTGGTGGAATATGTGAAATAAAATGGGTCTCTTCATTCATGAAGCTCTCTCGTATATACTTGTAATAGCATAAATTTACCATATAAATAACTCTTGAACAATTTGCCGGAAGGCTAAGTTGTTGTTGGTCGTCGAAAGCTTGCCGAGGTTGTCGGAAGCTTCAAGAGGGGTTTTAGTTCAGCCCTAGGTTTTGGGTATCATTATTTTTTGCAACCCTAATTGCTTCATAATGTGAATTTTCAACCCTAGATTTTTCTCAATGAGAGAGAAATGGAGATACGTTGCAATTTCAAAGTGACAAAATTAGAAATTAGTGACCAAAGTTCAAAAAAGAAAAATGTTATACTTTACTAATTTTAATTTGTGATTTTATCTTAAATTAGGTGGCTATTTATTTGTCTGTTTATTTGGCTACTTTGTGTATTTTAAAATTAATTTTTTAATAAAGGAAAGATCTTAATATAGGAAGGACCTAGAAAATATCTCCGTTTGGGATACTCTTTCTATTAAATCTATAAATAATTAAAACTAGAAGTTATAAATTTTTACCATAAATATTAGTACATAGATAAATAGAGCCTAATCTAGAACATGATTATGAAAAGACCAAAAGTTATTCATTATTATCCCCAAAATAGAGTCTAATCTAGAACATGATTACAAGGGAAGGCTTTATCATCTCCCTAGAGAAGGATTTAGTTACCCATAAGAACAAGGAATGAAGGAGAAGAAGCAAATCCACCCTCCATTTTCGTGCTAAAGCAAGCTAGAACTCCAAACCCTCAAGACTCACTCTTTCTCTCCCTAGAACTTAGCCAAAATGTGTTTTTTTCTAATACAAGCTTCCCCCCTTCTTTTGTAGACAAGATGTCTATCAAACCCCCCAAAAACCGAGGCCTATGTCCTCTCACAGCTTTTTGCCAACAACCCAATTAAGGAGGGAACAAAAATTGAGAGGTACAAGGAGCAAGTGGGTTTGCAATGTTCCTACGAGCGCTCGTAGGTCGCAGCACGAGCGCTCGTAGCTGTCTTAGGAAAATTCTTCTTGTTCGAGACCATGGACGAACGCTCGAAGAAGGAGTTACGAGCGCTCGTAGCTGCTTGAATTCCTACTACCTTGATTTGGAGCGCTCGAAGCTGAAGTAGGAGCACTCGAAGATGCCTTGGACCATTCTGCCTTGATTTGGAGGGCTTGTAGGTGTTACGAGCGCTCGTGTGACATGGAATAACACACTTGGATGCCGGACGAGTGCTCGAAGGTGGTGCTACGAGCGCTCGAAGATGCCTCAGATTGCATCTTCTGCTCCTTCTGCTTTGGACTTCTTCTTTTTGGAATTGGTACTGGCCCATTGAGAATCATATGCCCTCTTTTTCATCGTAGAAGGCTTCATGGACCTCCTTTAGCAGATTCTTCTCGGAAATCTCCGGATGCAACAACCCGGAATGACTTGATCTTTACAAAAAGCTTCAAAAACTTCCATCTTATTTCCAATTTGGAAGACAAACCTGAAAATACATAGAAACACGGAACTTGGAGAAAATCTATACAATTCAACCACTAATGGACCTAACTAAAACAAATAAGGGCGCTTGAATATGCAATATTCGGCGCTTATCATTGACTATCACCCGATTTCTTTAAAGGTTCCAGG